TAAAAATACTTGACATCAGAATATGCAAATCTGTTTTGTAAGTTGTTTTGTAAGTGAACATTTATAATCAAATATTTTGACTAGTATTTTTTTGGAGAAAACACCAATAATAAAAGAATGGAATGTTTGTATTGGTTCCCAGGCCCTTCTGTTTATTAATCATCACCTTCACTTTTTGGTTGTTTTTATGCACCGTGTACCATTTTATTGACACCATCAAATCTTTGCATGAATAACTTGCTCTAACTGCTCACTTTGTGTAACTGAATCACTGCAAATCACTAAGATATGAACAAAGACCACAATATATCACAGGCTGGTATTAAAAGCAAGGCCCCATAATATCACTTTGCAGGAATAAGAAATATATATGTATACAACCTTCACACAACCTTTAAAGCTTTTGTGAAAAAAATTAACCTCCCATCTGTATTTTTTATTTATTTATTTATTTATTTTTATTTTTTTATTATTATTTTTTTTTTGTGACAGTTCATTGAAGTGCACTTTCTGGGAGTATTCAATCCTTGATTGTGAATTAAACAAGCATACTGCACTTCATTTTGTCAACGCAATAAGTATGATGTCACAATTCTAGTGTGTGTGATGACAACATTAAAGATATGTGATGTTGTCACTAGTTGTTGGATATATGATAATATGTGTGGTCAAGGCAACTGTATAACACTTTCTAAGAGACATTTCCAGCAATGGTGAGCTACGTTTGAACTACTTCCAGCTGTTTTTACTGACCAGTTTTATTTGCAATAGCATGACCACTATATTACCAAGCAACTAACTGTCTTTATACCTCTTAACAGTTTGCCATGAGTATGTGGGGCCACTTGTAGTTGCTCACAGGAATGTTTTCATTCATTTTTGGTTGAATAGTAAAATTATTAACTTATAAAAATTTGAAAATAAATATTCTTTATATCTATATTTCATTCAAATTGCAGTTTTTAGTAGAAACTATTTAAATATGGCCTCTCATACAGCCTGCTTAACTTTTTTTAACATAAAAAGAAGTCTTAAAAGATATGTTTACCAGTTGTTTCCAAAAGTGTTATTTAATATGTAAAATTTGGGCTTTAGATATAAGTTAGTATTTATATAGAATTTAATCAGAAATTTAATAGAGTTGAATAATAATTGATAATTTGTAGTAAGTTTACTGCCAATGATTATGAAAACTTGCAACCAGTTTTTGAGTCATGTATAGAAAAGACATTTTGTAGAAAAAAAAACAGTCATATTCATAGTCATTTTAAGTGTCTTGGCCCTATAAATCCCAGTTGGTATTATGTCATATTGTGGTCATATAGAGAAGCGTTTTAGATTCCAAATAGAAACCTGTATGTTGTAACTGGTTTGAACCCAGATAACATGTGGTTAATGCTCTTGCACTGGGCCCTACTGTGATGTAGTTTACCCAACAGCAAGGGTAGATGGTGGACCATAGATTTTTGCTGATTCAGACTATGAATAGACCAGTAATGATATCAAAATAATAGTTGACCAATGCACATGTGGCCTCAAGAGTGTCACTGCATTGGTATGTGAATGAGGCAAAATTATAGGAACTTTGCAGCAGAAATGCACAGTTGATCTAGCAATCACATGCTATCTGAAAAGACATCTAAAGTCATTTATCAGCATCTATTTCTTAATCATTGGTAGTTTATCATTAATATTTAGGAGTAGAAATGATCAGATGGTTTTAATTTCATAACATTATAGTTAGCTCCCTGATGTAATTCTTAGTACTAAAGTGAAACTCCTTGTGCTGTTAAAGCTTTAGGCAATTGCAAATTAACTGAAATAACATGGTTATAATGATAATCTGCAACAATTAAATTGCTACAACAACTTCTTGGTGTGTCCATATTTCAATCCATGATGGATATTTCTCGTTGTTTGCCACAGCCATTCAAATCAAGCAGCCAGCCTTCAATCAGTCTTCATACGTTGCCTATGAAACCCTACCTGATGCCATACGACAGACAAAAATGAAGATGACCTTTAAGCCACGCAGCTTGGAGGATGGCATTCTCCTGTACAATGGACAGAGAGAGGATGGAGTTGGTGACTACATAGCCCTGGCAATCAAGGATAGGAAGATGCAGTTCAGTTTTGATTCTGGGTCAGGTATGTAGTCTTGGAAAAGTAGGGCTTGGGTCCTAAGTTTGAAATTTATTCAGGACTACCATAGATAATTTAGATGTCTTGGGTTTTTTAATGATGAGTTAATCTTCATTGAGAACCAAATGGATTTCAGTTTATTTAATTTTTGTAACTATTATTTTGATTTAGATAGTCTTATAAAAGAATTGCATTTAAAATTGTAGGCTAAAATGCTCCTGAAAAGTGATAAACCATAGTTTTCAAACATCTTACTGGCCATTTTAATGTATGTTCTTCGAAGCATTTCCATCAATACTCTTGTGGTCGTCTCTGTTTTGCACTTAAGTGGTAACAGAGAGGCAGGAATTATATACAATTCTGTTATATTTTATAAACTTTCATGCTATCAGGGGCAGCAGTGATAACTAGTGAGGATGAGCTTCAGGCAGACCAATGGACTACAATTATAGCAGAGAGAAATCTAAAAGATGGCTCACTTATTGTGAATAATGGTGTAGCAGTCAAAGGTAAGGTGACCATCTGGATTTGCTTGTATCAATTTCTACTGTAGAGGGACTTTTACCCAAGACAAGCCTTCAATATATACATTTGGAAATATCTAATGATTTTAGTAATATGTTGAAAGTATGTTAATATATCAAAAGTTGTTGACTAATTTTGAATCTTAGTATATTTTTAAGTTATTGTTTATGTTACCTTAACTGTGGTAGATGTTTCAACCATTGGTTTAACTTATAGTAATCAAGTTCTAATGATTTATGTAGTTTTTGTATTCCTGTGCACTTAGTTTGAAGGCCTTTTGCACATGTGAATGCTAGAGTTTTGCAGATGGCTAGAATGCCAAGTGTTGTCAATATTAATGTCTCTTTGAGTTGCTTAAATTATAAGACAGATCCACTATTCACTTTTTTGTCTAAAACTAAGGATGGGTTTATTGTGAAATTTGGCAAAATGAAACCAGTCATTGGCAACTCAGAATGAAGTGAGTTAATTCTTTGAAAAGATTTACATTAAGAAATAAAATGGATCTGCCTCAAGGAAAATGCCCATATGCTTTGTGTGTATTTTGCAAGAATGGCAAAGCCTAAAAACCCCTTTCCCAGTGCAACCCCTTTCTCAAACTAAGTATAATATTATGAATCTCAAACTTTGTACATGTTAAACAAAAGAATTGTTAGTTAAAAGTCTGAAATATATTTTTCGAAAATTGCCTAGCTGCAGAATGTGAAGTAGAATAGGAATAAAATTTTTATTATAATGGACCATACATATATTGCACCACTATATGCATAGTTGTGCGCATTGCATCTTATTCAGTACAGGGCCATATCACATATTTTTTCCTCTGGAGCATCTTTTTCCCCTCCGTGAAACTTTTTGCCTTATTTATCTGCACTAGTTGACTTACACAGTGTTAAAGATGTATGCTGCTGTTGGATGCAAAGATCTGAAAAAGGGAGGAGAAAAAGATGTTACGGAAAAGAAAATATTGTTGAATGGTTTTATAGATAGGCTCTTTAAAAGTGCTGCAGCTGTTTTTATATATGAGCGCCTTAGATTTCTTCATAGATAACAACAGAATATATATATTTATGGGCAGTAATTTATGTTAAAGTGGAGCTTGAATTTCACATTTACTGTTTAATATTCAAATGTACTTACATCAGTAAATTTCTTGTCAGTTTTAAAGAAGCATATCCTTTTGATGTGCTGTTTTATTTCAGGACATTTTGCTGTTCATTTCAGTACAATGTATTGACCTTGTTCTATGACCTTGACCTATTATTTTGTAGCCTCGGAACCAAAGGAATCCGGTGGTTTCTTATTTGGCATATTTGGTAACACGGATGGAGGTATAAAAATGATGAAAAATATATTTTAAAAAACAAACAAAAAGCAGTGTGCAATGCTAATATAATGATAGGGTTATTGCAGTGAGAGAGGAAATGGGACTACTTTAAGAAGAAATTAACAGAACTAAACCAGCATGAATTTCTGTGAATTGTATGAAATATATATCCAGCTAGTGTGATTTGACATTGACGGATTGAATAGTGTATGGTTTGACGCTACAGTTAATTACCTTTAAATTTTCTCAGGCATTTGTTATTTTATTCTTCTTCGGATTAAATTTCCCTGATACAATTATTTATAAAGATGTTTCCCCTTAGACTTAAATTACTAATGAGCATCTATGATTTTTGTCTACTCCATTTTCCAATTTTTGAAGTGAACACCATGGAATTACTATTGCCAGCCTGTCCAGTTACAGTATATCATCCTATTATCCTTAAAACTATATATACATGTAGACCTTTGTGTCCCTTTATTCAACTGTACATATACTGTCATTTGGTAAAAAAAAAATGTTTCTTTTCTTATTTAGAATTTTTTTTTTTTTTTTTTTTTTTTGTGTGTGATCAAGGCACATGTAATTTATGTTCTTGGTTTCTTTAAAGTTTATTGTAATTATCCATTTAATTCTAACCACCCAAAGTTTTACCTAGTTCATATTTGTGAATTGTTAATTGCTCTGGTGATTCTGTTTCAATTTAATTACCTAATTTTAATGACCTAATTTTTAATTCACCCAGTTCCTCTCATTCACTGTGACCCAATTTTGTGGCCATAAAGCTTCCAGTTAGCTTCTCTCTCATACTGCCTCAACTGAGTACAGAAACTTTCCTCTTCATTTTAAGTTTAAGGTGATCATATCTGCAAATAACTTTTGAAAATTATCTTATTTTATGACAAAAAAACTATTTTGAAAATAACAGGAACATCTCATTATTAAAACTTATTCTAGTTTAGCCTATTAACAGACAATTTGTTCTTACATGAGGGTGCTGTAATTGGCTTTCTCCTCACTAGAAAGAGCATGTACCAGGGCCTCCCATAAAGTAATTTGCAGATTGGCACTGTCTTTCATTATTTCATTATCTTGATCATTTTCAGTTGCTTCCAGATGTTTTTTGTTGCTGTGAAAATCTGTTGCTTAGCAATCTTTTTGTTTGCCAGTGTTATTGTTTATGTGTCTGATATTTTATTTGTATTTGTCATATTTTGAGTTTGCTACATTTATTATTTACCTCGCTTAGCACTGAAAATCTTAAAAAATGTCAACATTTTTGGTAGCTTTAACCCCATATAAATTACTTCCTTTTCATTTCGATGTGTATGAATCTAAGCAAAATGTACAATGGGCATGCATCCTTAGGTGATTTGAAAAGAAAGTGCATAGCTGCATTACTTGTTATATTTGCATGTTGGTGTGTCAAGCCAAATAGTTACTTTGCATATGCATAACAATACTGTTATATACTTCCTGCCTTAAAAGCTTGCTTTTCAGTTGCATTTTGCTGATTTGAAATGCTTTAACCAGTGCATTTGTGTTAAGCTTAATGTGATTGCTTTTTTAATCTTCAATTTATCACCAATTTGCTAACAAAAGTTGTTAAACATTGAGTGAGGTGAGGTGAGACTTTTTATACATATTGGATAGTAGCCCTTTGCTTGTGCAAATATTTGAGATTCCCTTTCACCCTGAAATCTGCTTTGAATACAATGATATTTTAACTTAGTTTGGCTTTGAAATAGGTACTTGTATTGTGCATATCTGTTATCTGCTTCTCCATAGATAAAAAAGCTTGTTTGCAGCACTTTTAGAGCCCACTAATACATTTATTTGATGGCTGCAGTATTTATTTCCTGTAATATGTTTATTTTCTATAATGAAAAAAGAAAAGATTTTTTTGCATTAGTAAATGATTTGTCAATTGCACTCTTAATGCAAAAGTAATGGTACACATTTTGTAAGCATGGACGTGTTATATTATTCACTATTTTATTTACTAAGTAATTTTTAGCAGTATTTGAATTGATTTGGCAAAATGTGATCTGTTACAATGCTGTGATGAAAGTATGGCTTAATAGATTTACACGTCACTTTGTTATATGTTCTGTTGAAGTGTTAATAGAAAATTGTCATTTTATTTGTAGGTTTTACACACTGAATTCAAATGCCTCCATGTTTGACAATTTTTTTTGGTTTACACTTTTGCAATCTTAAAGGGATAATAACTCTTCGTTTCGGCCAAAAAATGAATTTTCCTGGAGTAAACAACAATTTTCCCATACTTACCAATGGTTAATGAATCCATTTTTACATTCAAAGTTAGTCCCTGTTTTTTCTAAAAAGTTTGGTTTTTTGTTAAAATCTCTTAAAAGATTTTAACAGACTATGGCCATCAATGGAGGTCACGTGGTCTAAAGACAAGCTCAGATATCAGAATAATAGCTATAACTGCCGTTTTTGTGGTAAAACAGAATGTATTATATTTCTATGAGTTATTCACAATGTTTTTATTGTGAAATATAGATCTCACACGAAGAGTTATCCCTTTAAAAATTATTTGACCATCGGAAAACTGAACTTTGCATTAATGTTATATTACATCCAAAATCCATTCTGGACCAGTAATAGTATTTTAATCCCCCAACCTTTTTTCATACAATCACAGACATGATCCTACTTTTTCTGACTCCCGTCATTGTCTTTTGGTCTAAATGTAATGGGTGTAAACCAAGTGTTTTAAAACTGGAGACACTAAATGTTATGAACTGTCTTATTCAGAACGCCCTTTCTTAGAACTGTGAACATCTTGCTTTACTGTCCATCAAAAAGGTTTTTTTATAATTTTGTTTTTGTAATGATTCCAACAGCTCTGTTTTCACAGTTTTAGATGAAAAGTCAACAAATTTCTGACAAAAACATGTTGCCCAAAATATAAGAATCGACACTACACCCGGAAACTAAGGTATATTTGCCTTGCTCTGTGTAAATAAAGCATATTTTTTAATTAAAAGCACCATTAAAACAACAGTTAACAGGAAAGGATGTTCTTAAATGTAACTAGTGCAGTTTCAGAGCACCTGCTAGATACAGTAGTGCTGACTATGTATGTTAGTTTACACTTTTTTTTCACTGCACACCAGGTGTCAGTAGTGTTCCCTTCATTTTCTTCATTGCTCTCAGGTGGCAGTGCTGCTCCCAAGGAAAAAAAAACGGCATATAGGTTGTCTTTGGTAAATTGGTTATGTGATTACTTTCAGAAAATATCCAGAATTATGATAATTGTTTTGAAAAATTTTACTTGGAGCTTTGGTTTCAAGTTTCGGGCTGATTCATCTTAACAACTGGATAGTTTTTTATATCATTCACATTTATGTTATTTGATATTTCAGCAAAGCTAAACTATGAGAGGACTAAACAAACAATGAGTGATCTTTCCAAGTTATGACTCCCTCCTTAACTTTGATAACCAACCATATTCCTCCATATACATCCATATTTCTAGTATTGTACTAAGTGTGGTTTTGTTTGTTCTTCAGGTACCTCTGAGGGTAACACAGAGGGCCTTAACCTCCGCCTGCCCCTGTATCTTGGAGGTGTGGACCCCGATCGCATGATTTCCTCCAGTGTAGGAGTTAAAAGAGGGTTTGATGGCTGTATAAGTGAGGTAAAAAATTTCCCTTTCTTTTCTTGGTAAAGAATTAACTTTATTTCAACCACTAATTCTAAAATTCATACAAAATTGATGTTTTCTTGGTAGTTACACTTGTACAGTCAGTTAAATAGATTTGAAAATGCAAGTCTACACAATGACTAATGGGTTTAAGTCTTATTCATTGAAAAAGTTCATGAATTGTCCTCCTTATTCCAGTTTGAAATAAATGACCGTCCCAAGAACCTTGTGACCAATGTCTTGGACAGTGCCAATATCATGGACTGTGGTACCAAGAATCCGTGTGAGATCCGCCCCTGTAAAAATGGAGGCACCTGCGTCAACCAGAATGGAGACTATACATGTGTTTGTCCTGCTGACTCCACAGGTGCTTGTTGGAATGCTATAGATAGTGAAGAGAAAGTGAGATAAGGAGGAAGAGAGAGAGAGCTCATTCAGAGCAGCCGACTAACAGATCCACAGATCAAACATGGCGATCCACTGAAAAGCTTGTCGCTTAATTCCCAATTAGACACTGAAAAAGATTTCCTATTAGAATTATGCAACAAGCATTCAAGTGGCTCAGCCATATTTGATCTGCGTATGTATTTGTCCACTGTTCCGAATGCACTTAGAGAGAATGGATAATGGTAGAAGAGAGAGGAGGCAGGTAGAGAGAGAGATGGCAGGATTGTTGAATAGTAGGGGGATAAGAGAAAAAGAAGATGGTGGACAACAAAGGATTGAATAATCTGCCACTGAGATAAACTATTTATTTACTACAGATTCAATTCATTCATGAATGAAATTGATGTGTGCAAGTGTATGAACAAGTGGGACCTAAGATTGGCATCATCTTACCAATGTATACTGTACACAAGATTTATCCTGTTAGGCACTCAGTAAAAGGCACTCTCTCACATAAACCATCCATGTGTTAAAGAAATTCCAGTCATCATTTTGGTGTATATTAAATATGCTTTGTTAAAATGCAGCGAAGAACTACCACAGTTCTGTCTTTGTTTTTCAGGTGCTGACTGTGAGCTTCAACTGAATGCCTGCACGAGAGGCGATTCACCATGCCAGAATGGCGGAGAGTGCATACCACTCAATGGCATTGCCTTCACATGCAGGTGCAAACTGGGCTTTAAAGGAACCAATTGTGAACAGGGTAAAAATTTGTTACTAGATCTAGCTATGTCAAATAAAAGCTATGTCAAATATGTGCTCTGAAACCACATAGACTTCTTCCTTAGATTTTTGGCTGCAAAGAGACCTTCTTCCCTTTGAAAGGAGGTAGCTAAAGAGGAGGATGCACAAGAATTGGGAATCATCTGTGCATGTGATGCATATGTGACTATGAAATATCAAATAAAAACATTTTTCATGGAAACTTTAGGGACTTTCCCTTTAACAACAAGGTAAAACCTAGCCAAAACTGTTGTGAATATTGCAGTTTAGTTACCAGATTTCAAGCCCCTAAATTTCACATTTTTACATAACAATTCAGGCCCGTAGCCAGCAATTTCAAGAGGGGGATTCTTTTTTTGAAAAAGTGGACCTTTTCCTATAAAAACTTCATGTACCTAGATCAAATTTTACCCAGAGTGGACCTTTTCCCTGCAAAAGGGGCAGTTCTTTCGAACCCCCCGAACCCCCCTGGCTACGGGCCTGCTGAATTGAAAGCTACATTCACCAGTCTTGATTATGTGGGTGCCAACAGAACTGAAGCAATTTTCTCTTTCAGAGGAGAAAGTTGGCGGCTCCTCCGTCCGTTTCAGTGGCAGTCAGTATGTGATATTCTCCAAAGAGCGTCTGCCCCATTCTGCAACACTGGAAGAGATGGTCCAGTTCAAAGTAATGACCAATGATTACGATGGCCTGATTCTGTGGCATGGACAGGAGCCGACCACCCTGGGGCAGGGCAGGGATTATCTGGCTGTGGGACTGAGAGATGGACATATAGAACTCAGGTGAATATTTGGATCATGACCACTGTATGTGTGTGTGCACATGCATATGTGTGTGTTGGAAGAAAGCAGTGTCTGTTTGATATAGAGTCAAAGAGCTTGTAAGACAATGTATGTGAATGATGCGTGCTTATGTGTGAGAGTGCGTGTTTGCATTTGTGTTTGTGTGTGTGATCTAACAGCCAAAAGAATGCTGTGGAAAATATAAAACTTAATCAATCACCAAGATGGCTGATATTTAAATGTCCCTCATGCTTTTGATTCTAACATGGACCTAATGGAGTTTGCCAGCAGTGTATAATGCCACTGGTGGAGTGAAGATATGATATATTTTATATACCAAATGTTCTGTTTCAGCTATGAACTAGGCAGTGGTCCAGCTAGCATAGTAACTTCAGACAGAGTAAATGATGGAAGAATGCATACTATCACAATAAAAAGGTAAGTGTTAATGATTTTGCTTTTTGGGAAATCTTTGATGGCACCTTTCTAATGTCTGCTATTAACAACATATGTTCTTTCCTTATAATCCTGTTAATGTTTTAAAATATGTAAGTATTTATCACCTGTGGCCCATAAAGGGGGTTGTTGTTGTTGTTTTTTTTTGTTTTGTTTTTTTTTTTTAAGAGTGCGTTTACCTCTGGTAAGTGAACAAGAAATCTGAATAAAATTCCTCAAAAATTATGAAAAAAATCAGGATAGACAGCTATTCCGGAGGTAAATATTTGAATTGGGTATCAATTTCAACTAAATCCGTTTCTTCTAATATTTTTTCAAAATATTTTATTTTACATCCATGAACATGTTAATATAGATAGATATTAAAGTTAACCTATTCTGTTTTAGACAAGGCAGAAGTGGAGAAATTTTAGTAGATGACTTCTCCATTGTGAAGGGAGAATCACTTGGACAGTTGAAAATGTTGAATGCAGAAGGGGATATTTATGTTGGTAGGTATCAAGTTACTTTTGGAATATAGAATAGACATTATACATTATACATTATATCTACAATATCTGTGATTTTATAATGACTTATATAACATACTAGTGTAGCATTTTGATATTAAAGAAAAACTCATTTTTAACCTAAGACGATAAAAAGATTCAGTTTATAGCACCCCTTATAAGGTCACTCCCTGCCCGATTTGTAAAAAAAAAATTCTGGAAAAAATATCAGACCAGGTCAGAGGCAAACATTACCTGTCATTTATGCAACCTTATAAGCCTGTATGAAAAACAGGACAAAGTATGATCTGTGATCATGGATCTGTGACATGGTTTTAAGTAACTTTGTGTGGAGGCTACTTTTATTTAATCTTGTTTCATCCCCAACAAAAGATACCGACTTATGAAATCGGGCTATTTTTTTGCCATTTTGAGTAATATGCTGTTTTGCTTCAATGTCAATTTGGTTGAAGGTTTTCATTTTAAATCCAAAAAAGAACCAAGGCAAATAATCAGCTGGGAGTTTTTTATTGAACATGTATTGGATTCTTAGCAAATAATAACTTAATTTGCAAAACATGGCCCTAAGTGATTAGTGATTTAACTTTTATATACAAGAATGAAAGTTTTCAGTATTAAGCCTAATTTCAGGATTAACAGTCTTATCTTGAGCCATTTTAAATGATCTTATTACAGTGAAAAATTACAAACTACTTTTTTATTTCATTTTATTTTATTTTATTTTCACTTTTTATGACTTTTCACCCATTTATATATTATACAAAAATGCAGCAAGAGTTTGTTTTATATAATTATGACATTTGACATTTTTCTTTCTTCCAGGTGGTGTTCCAGACTTCAGTTACATGACAGGAGGGAAATACTTCCAGGGACTCAACGGCTGTTTACGAGACTTAAAATTCAACCAGGAAGACCCCATAGACTTTCAGGAGGCAATAGGTGGAACAAGCGTCAGTCCGTGTATCTAAATAATCTTTATATAAATATATATACACATTACCTATATAAGCAACAGGGATTATTTTTATTCTTATACTTTTTTTCATTTTTATGGAAGTAATAACTTAAAAGCATTTGTGCTGGCATGGGCTGCATCTTTGTACTGAAACTATTTAGGAAGAAAGTGATGGAAAACTTGCATACAGAAATGGAACTACATCTTATACTTAATTGGACCACAGCTTTAAATTGGAATGGTCATACTTTTTCTTGACATTATGTACTTATTGTTTTATTTTAAAAAAGGAAAAGTCAGATATGGACCAGAAAATGAGAACAAGAAAAGTAGTGCCTTCCTGAAGTCAAATTAAGAAATAAAAACTCTTGACAATTGGTCTATGGACACATATACTCTATGTTTTTGGCCAGCATAAGTTAAATCAAATGGAAAAATATTTCTGAATAGTACTTTGGTCAGTGGGTAGGTTAAAATCATATGTATAGAGGTTGCCAAGGATACAATGCATTTCCCAAAGTGGCTCCTTCATCAGAATTTTTGAACTTTGTAAACCATTGCAGTCTGCAAGGAGTTAAGTTTTACTTACATTTGGAATTGAAGAACAGCGCCTGCAAGCTCATGAAGAGTTCAGAATTTCCTAGGCAAATCTTATATCATCACTGGTTATGACTTGGATGGGAAAGGCAGCCATTTTGCAGAGAGATTTTTGATACAAATGTTTTTATTGATGGCACTGTCAGCATTTTCACTGCAATTAACCTACATACACATGCACACTTAAACCACTCCCAACATAAGAACCAGAGATGTATGATGTGACCTTTAATGCAGTATTATTATCAGCTGTCATTATCTTGGTTCACAAGCATTGACAGATTTCTCAACTTCTTCATATTTCTTCTTATACACCATCGTGTATGAACTTAAGTAAACAGCTTGGGCAATTTGGACTGTCTTTGCATGTGGCTGATTTTCCTGTTCAAGGATGTGTTCTTGATAAAGCTAACATAATCATGGGCTATCACATAGCGGAGATTTATACTTTGTATATCTTTATGTGGTACATTGTATCATACTTTGCTAATTGGTTTGATCCATTAATATTGTGATATACAATGTGACAATGTGTAAAACTGAAACAGCTTTTGCTGAAGCACTGAATGATACATTGTAGCATACACTATCACTGTTAACTGTGTATGTCACAGTAAAAATGTACTTTGTCCCACCTATAGCAATGTCATATTACACTCAATGTATTTTAAGTTAGGATTATTATGAACTTACAGATCACATTAACAGTACATATGAAGTTTTAACTTTGTGATACAATCCCGATATTTTGTATCTTATGAAATGCAGTAATTGAGAAAATTAGATTCTTCCACTCGGTATCATGTGAATGTTAAAATTGTTGTATTTACATAGCGGTATACATGTATATTAACCATTATACAATCAAATATGCATACTTGTTGTACACTGTATTATTTACACAAAGGTGCCTAAGTAAGAACTAGTTTTCTTTTACAGTGCTTTATCTTTCACATTTAGTTATTTGATAATAAAGATATTGCAGATTTAGTGTAAATATTTATCAAATACACTAATGTTAGAGACTGGGAATATATTTGCTAGTAGTTAAATCATTATTACTGAAGTAGCTGCAAATTTGTATAGTTTTATAATGCCCATGTTTAGGGTCGCAAAGGTCAAACTTTTGACCGTCACCTTGGAGCAAGGTCACAACCTTGCCATGTAGATGATTTTTGATAATAGCCATATCACTGCCATTTGTAGTAATATAAGGAAAAGGGAGAGAGGCTCAGAAATTTGGTTTAAAAGAAAAAAATGAACAAACCTTCATTGAAAATGTTCATCAGGTGTGATGCAATTATATTTTGGAATATGAAAAAAGTGGATTATCTAACTTTTTACTGTTGTTCAAGATGAAGGATGTAATGTTAAAAGTCCAATGTTAATATATAAGAGTTTAAGTTGAAAGATTTTAGGATTACATCTTTAACAATCCAAATTATTGTTATGACTTTCATTATATTTAGGGCAATGAAAAGTATGAGAATGAAGGACGTTTTCAAGTTTGATAGATACAAAAAAGATTACTAGAAGTTGGTGCTTGGTCACTCTGACAAACAACCAGATTTGAAATTAGATTTGCAGTTTTCTGCTGGTCAATTAAAAAATTAATCTGGGGTCTTGCTGTTGTTCAGCATCAAGTCATCATTGTTAATAAACTTTACATCAAAAGTTTGTTTGTTCTCTTTTTCTCTCTCTCTCTCTCTTTCTCTGAGTTTAATGCTGTGGTTTTGACATTGAACCGGTGTTCAGTAATGTTTTGTGACAAAATTTGCGATATAGGTATAGTTTTTTTGCACCTGTTTTGTTTGAGGTGGTGCAACTATTTAGTATTGGTCATGGATTAGGTTTCATAATTTCTTTTCCTTCTGTCATATCTTTAGGAGGATGGGCCATTTACAAGTATTGGGGTCATGCTGAGTGCTTATTTCTACTTTTCGACGTCACATATTCGTCTTGTTTTCCATTGAGATTTAAATGATGTCTGGCATGCCTACTAAAGCTGCTAAACGACAATTGATTACCCCCTAGCAGTTTCAGTAGGCTTGACTGACAACTTTAGGCGCATTTTTAATTTTTAAAGAAAATCATTCAACAAATTTTTTTAAAAACTTTTTTACTGAGAATCCCCTGGGAGATAGATCAATCCACAGTTCTTACAATAAAGACCATTCACAGAGCCTATCGGACAAACTTTGGGTCAATCTTATCTCCAAGGGGATTTCCACTAAAATAAGTTAAAAAATATTTGTTAAATGATTTTCTTTGAAATTTAAAAAGGAGAAGGGAGTTTTTTGTGATATTTTGATCAGTCCCTTAGTTTTTAACGAAGATTTGATTACTGTACTTGTTGCATGTAACTCCTTTTGTATAACCATTTTAGCAAACACTTTTGAAATTTTGATATTAAGTTTATAATGTCATATTAATTTCTGTTAATTGACGATGAAAATTAGAGTCACACAATGCCAAGAAAACATTTTCCTTATCTGGTAGGGGCTAGGTCTGTAGAGAAACATTTGTTTGCTGTCGGTTTATCAAAATAAACAGGGTATTTAAATACTTTGGAAAACAAATCGCTGAAGTCGTCCATTAAATGGTGCTCGCAAAGAGCTGTGTATGGCTGTAAGTGATATGTACTCATAATACAATCTCAGTGGACAAGATGAGATGTTGTAAGTTACGGCTGAGTGCCCATAGTTTTGCTATTGAAACAGGGAGATGGTCATGAGGTCCAAGAAATACAAGACTTTGTACATTTGGAATTAATGAAAATTGCATTCAGATATAAGAGCATGTGATCTGTTGTTGCCCAAAAAGAAAACAGTTAAGACATGACTACAACAGTTTTGACAACCCTTAGCAAAATGAAAAGTTTGCAGCTAGCTGTATTGCAGTAAAATTGCAGCAAACTTGTTTGCAAGAAAAAATGGTATTGCTTCTAATTTGCAACTATTTTACAATAGTAACATAAGTTTGCATCAAGTTTGCAAGAAAAGTCTTTATGTTGTGGCAAGTTTGCAGCAAATTAGCAGCAAATTTGCAAGAACATATTAAGTTAGCAGTAAGTTTGCAAGAAAGTATTCAAATTCTTGCAAATTCGCACCAAATAAGCAGCAAATTTGCAGCGAATTTGCAAATTTGCAGTGAATTTGCCGGAGAGTTTGCAGCAGGCCTATAAGGGAATGCAGACATTACGGCTTTTTACAGCAAACGGGTGACACCTGTGGCCAATTATGTTCATAAATGTTTGATGTTGTCGGAGACGGAAATGCCAAGTGATTAATTGTACGTGTAATGTGCTTCTTTGTTGAGGTTTCTACTTAACTATTGTTTTCTGCTCGTAACTGGTAAAAAAATCTATCTATCTGTATGTAGTTACCTGCTAGTCGTCTTGGGGAACAGGACGGAAGACGAGATCAGGCCAGGAAGGCTGGAATAAACACCGTAATTACTTCTTTAGCTACTAGGCCTACTTTTCCCTGAAAAAAAAAACTCATAACATAAGATACCTGTAGAATAAACTATCAAACCTTCAAGTTTATCTTGGGTCTAAGACATCACGAATTGTTCGAGTCAGAAAAATGGCCCATGGTCATTATGCTTAAATTGTGAAATGTAGTATTTTGCAATTAAGCAAGTATCACCAACGTAGCAAAAAGCAATGTTGCCTTACATCAACAACACATTACTTACAACAGATTTCTGCCCTTGTCAGGCTCCAAAATTTGGGCATACGCGTGGAAATTGTAGCAATGTGGCAAAAAGTTTACTTCCTACACCTCGCTGCTGCTTCTCCTTTTTCTGGTGACCTTGGTCCTTGCTGAAAACTTCTCACAAATATGCTCACCAGAATTAGGACACCCTCTTTCCTTACGGTAGCCTCGATTCAAAATTGAGTCTTCTTATGTGATAAGGAACAACAACTGATCCCCTTCTCGAGGAAGTGATTTGGGTCTGATAAAATAAGGATTGTTAAAGCATCTACTATCTCTAAGTTATCATGCTTGACATCTAGTTATAGCAGGGGCGGATCCAGGATTATTTGAAGGGGGGGGTGCGATGCGATGCCGACCTCCCCCCCCCCCCCCCCCCCCCCCCACCCCCCCCCCCCCCCCCCCCCCCCCCCCCCCCCCCCCCCCNGGTCAACCAATCAGCGTTTTCACCAAACTTTGGTGAAAAATTTTGAAACATGGATTTGATTGGCTTATATAAACTAGGTCAAACTATTTTCGTCAGAGGTTACTTGACACGATGGAGATAGGCTACAGTGAAAAGGTTAGTGTCAAGTTAGCTCTGAAGCTCAGGGTGGGGTCCGCTGAAGGGCACTGAAAAAATTTGGTATTTTAGAGGGCGAACGGTGCCATTTGGTACGGTTCAGAACTATGATTCAGATAGTCAACATTATAATTACAAGAGTAGACCAGAAATCGAATGGGGGGGGGATCAGGACCCCCCGAACCCCCTCTAAATCTGCCAATGTATAGGGATAAATTAAGTATTCAGGTTTCATAAGTCGAATAAATACCCCACCGCCTTAAAAGAATAATAATATTGTGCTAGAGAAAACAGGATGGGATTTTACGCACAACATCATAATGGGCTATTGTGCAAATACGCAAACACGATATGGATGTGACATCAGATTTGGACATTTAACGGCTAACATTTTGTTCTTTTTATACCGTCCCAATTTACCGCATGTCCATACATTGTGATAAAATTATTCTACTTGCAGAGCAAAATGATGCATAAAAAAGGGTTTATTTT